CTATTTTTAGCTTATTCAAAATTTGAACTTCTTTTTTTAAATTGGATTAATCTTAATGATTTTTTTTGTGTGTGTGTGTGTGTGTAACTTCTTAAGATTTAAGGTTATCAAGTTAAATGTCATTTGATTTTTAAAAATCTTATGAAAATGTCTTGACAATGCAGCTCTCTCACCCATGCATCATCTTTTGAAAAAAAAAATTTAAATCTTTTATTTATTTATTTGGTACAGGTCTCACTACACAGCTCAGACTTTTAATGATCCTCCTATCTTAATCTCCCCAGCTCTGGGATTACAGGCATGTACCACCATGCCTGATTTCCACGGCCCATACAGTGCACCCGGGATTCAGGAATGTGATATGAGGGGACTGAAGCTGAGTCTGTGAGCTTGCCAGGCAGGCACTTACATCACAGAGCTCTCTCTCCAGCCTCTACACATCATCTTGTGTCATTAGCATACAGAAGACATAGGCTTTCCTGATGTCAACTCAATACCATGTAACAGATTTCTGAGCCATACTGGGGGAAGGATTAATTAAAAAGTATTTTAGGAAGCTGCTCATCGAACAAAATGCAGTAAATACTATGAAAAGACCCATATCTAAACCAAAGAGCAAAGACAGTTATAAAAATAATTGTAATAAAAGAAAGAATACTAAATGCCACAGCAAATAAAAATTTCACAAAAACATACTAAATCATATTTTGGGGTTACGTTAAACAGTACATTGAGATATATATGTTTATGAAAGAAAAAAGAGGTTATAGTATATTTTAGATCTACTCTTTTGTTTAAATATTGGGTTTGTTTCCTACCAGTATTAGAGGTAGAAAAAAAGAAACACAAAATAGGTTCAAATTTTTAGGGCCAAAATGTCTAAGTAGGAGAAGAGCTCTTCAAACTAACTTTATACTACAATGTTATACACTCAGATTTTTCAGTAATAGAAATATCAGCCATATATGTACTTCATGTTAACAGAAAAATTATACTGTATGATTACAAGAAATAAGTGGACAATATTAGGGAGATACAATCAGAGCTTAGGTCTGAGTCTGTTAAGCAAAACATAAATATTACTAGACATGGCTCCAAGACAAGGGAATAAGTACTAATTTCTCAGTCTTTCACTTTCTATGATTGCTGTGAAGACAGTTGTATCAGCTAGAAAACACAACTGCATTAGCTATTTGAAAGCCACCAAGAACTTCATTGCAGTGGGGACAACCTGCTCAGGCCCCCCTTTTGTCCCTCTCTCAGACAGGAGTTTTCTTTCCCCCAATAAATATATTCTACTCATAACCAAAAAAAAAAAAAAAAACGAAAACAAAAACAAAATTTTATTCCATACAAATATAATAAAAACCCAGGTCTAACGATGGTGAACAGGCAACTTACTGAGATATGAAATTATAGATCTAGCAAAAAAATGCTGGTAATGTTTTGATTTCTTATGGGAAGTTGATAACCTGCTAAAGAAAAAACGTAACAGTGGAAAAACAAAATCTGTGTCAATGTGAACAAAAAGATCAAGGAATACCTAAAAAAGCATACAGCCACACAAGTAATGAATAGACTTAATAATTATACATTAGAATCATTATACCATATTTTTACAAAGGTTTACCTAAAATTTAGAATTTATTTAGCTATAAACTAGAAATATAAATATTAAGGACTGTCTTTAAATAAAAAGATAAAATTCATGTCACTAACACTTGAAAAAGCATAGACTAAAAATAAATACAAAAGCCACAACAGCAAATTCACAATCTATAATCAACCTAGCCAAATCAGAAGGCTAAAACAGTTAATAAAAGAAACACAGAAAAATATATTAGTGGTTCCATTCAACCTAGCTATTTGCCTCCTGAGTATTTTTCAAGAAGAACTGAAAACATCACACCCCGGCGATATATGTGCATCTATGTTTATAGCAGCAAAATATGTCACAGCTAAATCATGGAGACAACGCAAATGCCCATCAACTGAGGAACGGATAAAAAAGATGTGGTATTTTTATACAATGGAGTATTACTCAACTATAAAAAAAGATAAAACTTGAGGTTTTCATAGGTAAATGGATACAACTCGGGACCATACTCATAAGGGAAATAAGTCAGACTTGCATGTGAAAACAGCAGTCTCCCTAGTGTAAGAACCTGAAAGAGTAAATAAAATCCACAAGACACAACAGATACCATCAAAAGGAAAGAAACTGCTAAAAGGGAAGGAACAACTGAGATGACGGAAAGGAGAAAAAAAGAAGGAAGGGAAAAAAAATAGATATGTATATACATAGGCCAAAGGATAATTGGACTGTTGATTTCTCCTAGTCTATTGAAAGGAGCAAATAATGCTTATTTTTTTCTTTCTCTCTTATTTATTTACTTAACAAATTTTGCATGTTTATGTCTGGTAATCCGAACAACTAATTTGAAGACAACAATATGCGATATAACAACCATTGTTGAATTCCTATCATTTTGTTTAGTGAAATTCTGTATTGTTTCTAAAGCTTCTTTTACTATTTTTTGTTGTTTAAAAATAAAAAAATTAGAAATACAGAGTAGCAAAGCAGTAACAGAATATCAATAAATTGTTCCTTGAAGCCATAATTACATACATTTAGGAAACTGTATTTGTGAACCCTATGTACATGTTTTTGCACATGTAAAGCCCTGGTGAATAAAAGTGATGCACTAAACTTCATCTTGGCTTTGTTTGTCCTTTATGTTTGTTTTTTGTACTGGCTATGTGTCCTATATTCAGTATTTGATACCTTTACATACTTGCCATAAAACCTAGAAATGATGTTCTTTTAAACACACACAAACACACACAAACACACACACACACACACACACACACACACACACACACTAACAATGCCAGGTATAGTGGCACACGCCTGTAACCCCAGCACTTCAGGAGGCTGAGGCAGAAGCATTGCTATCTGGTCCAGACCAGCATGGGCTACAAAGTGAGTTCAAAGCTAGTCTGAACTAAATAGTAAGGCCCCATAGCCCTTGCCCCTCAAAAAAACAAGATAGAATAAAAGCTCGAGTCTACCAGCTTTCTATTTACCTGTGAGTTTAAAAAAGAAAGAAAGAAAACAAATACCAATTCCAAGTACTTTTTTAATAATACTAAAAGAAAAGCTGTATTGTAAGTAACTAAAGTAACCTTAAATACACTTTGGAAGTAGGTAAGGTAATCATTAAGAAGACAATAATTGTATACATGGAGAGAAACAAAATAATTCAGACAGAATTTCAACTATTGATGACTATATGGTTTCACACCCTACAAATTTCCATCTATTTTCAAATAGTCAACTTCCCTGAACTGAACTCTTCAGTTAGTGTTCTGGGACTCCTAATTATGCTGCAGAGTTTGCTGAATGTCAAGCAGTCATTTCAGTATAGAGCCATGAGAAAAAAGTGAGTAATGCTGAAGTTCTTGAATGGATATGAAGAAGTCAGTACATGCTGCAAACTAATATTCAGATATTTATAACAAATTTTTTGCCATGTATCCTATGACAAATCAGTATTCAATAACAAATCTAAGACAGACTAAAAAAAAACACTAAAAACTGGTGGAGAAAAAAAGAATTCACTGTTCATCTGATTCCCGTGAATCAATAAAACTTCAGTCAGTGAATTTAAATCATAAGCCAATTTCCAAATATTTGACAATGTTGCATTTATTAACAGCATGTAAGTGTGCTAGACACACTACATGCTGATCAACCTATAATTACCTGCTTTAAAAAAAAAAAAACTACAGCGTAAAACACAGAATCCATTAACTTTTCATCCCTTCAAAAACTGCCTACACAATAAATACTTTAAAAGTCTGTAAGATTTTATTCCTCACACCACAGAAATAAAAGCTATAAAAATCAGCTCTTCAAAAACAGGTAATAGCATATTCAAAGAGAATGAACATCTTGTAGCCATCGCTTAGCTACTTCTCTAAGGCTGTATATACAATGTAAAATGGGTGTCATATGCATGCCATGTATATAAGATCCATTATAAATGCTTGCTCTTAAATATTTAAAAGGAATATAATGAGTTTTACCTAGAGCGAAGAGTTGAAAGTCATATTAAAATCATAATAACCTGAGCTTCTAACCTAAGCAAACCTAAATAGAAAGTAAACAGTAACAATAATTCTTTAATTCACAATTTTTTAAATGTTAAAATATTTATTTAAAAAAAAAAAAAGGGTGCCGGGGAGATGGCTCAGTGGCATAAGTGCTTGCCTGGCAAGTGCAAGGACCTGAGTTCAATCCCCGATTCCGCCAAAAAAAAAATTAAAAAATAAAATAAAATATTTATTTATAAAAGTTATTCTACTTAATAAAAGTTTAAGTTTGACTTGCTATTTTAAAAAGAAAATTAAGCACAGGTTAATTATTAATGGGTATCACCATGACACCCTATAACACAGTACATATAAAAAAAAATTACACAAGTTGCTGGTGGAAATACTTGTAAAATAAACTGTCAAATTTTAAAACGAATTACTTTCTTTTGAGCGATTTCTCCTAATACAAATAGAAAGTCCAAGGAATGATTCATGCAATAGTAACACTTTATAATGCCATTTTTGACTTTTGCAAAGTTTTGAAATTCTTTCAGGTTTCAACACTTACTGACATGTATCTCTATACACACACACACACACACACACACACACAACCTTAATAAAACAAACTCAACTGCACAACAGCAACACCTGCCTGCATACAAACCAACTAGTCAAATAAAATCTTTTATCTGATGTCCACCTTGCAAGAGATATCTATAGATGAAATACACTTCTCCACAAATATAGCACTCCTAAGAATTAAGCTCTTGGGAGTTAACAAAGTATATCTGAAGTCTAGAAACTTTTTTTCATGTTAGATAAAGTAGAACAGATAAAAACATTATCTCTTTTGAAAAGTCTTGAACTCATTATAAATCAGCACATTAATGTCTTACTGGTAAACTTGACGGTCTTTCTTGTTGTATTAAATTCAAGTCTTCATGGTTGGGCTTTCCAGGGGCCAGAGGAGGTTGAGATCTAGTGCCATAGCCTTCCTGAGACATGTCCTAAGAAAGAAAAGGTACTTGGCATAAATATCTGTTTTAAAGCTTCATTAAAAAAAAAAAAAGTTTAATCAGCAACCAAAATGAAGCAGCAGTTTATCACAAAGTATCAAGTAACGTTACATTTCAGTTTATAGATGTGATACCTATTATTTCTTTAATATTTTATCAAAGGCAAAAATGAGTCAGTTATAGAAATTAAAAGCTAAATTTATTACAAACCCGTAATAAGCATTGCACAGAATTTTATAGGAAGCTGACTAGTTAGGAAAACATAGGAAAGTCAGGTGTGTACAAACTTTTTAAACCACAGCAAATGCAAAGCTCACTGTATTGCTCAATTCTGATTTGGGTCAAACAGCCTTCAATATTATTTTCAAAATTTAAATAACAATGAACTTCATTATAACTGAATCTTGCTATACCCTATCAAATACCCACAAAAAAGGATACACTGTTATTAAACTCAGTATCCTAGAGTTTCTACAAAACCAACCAACATTCAGATACATAAGTCCATATGCTCACATGACATCATTTTTTTCAAGAAGTGAAACACACCCAAACACCATGAGGGGAAAAGAAACTGATCTTTTACACGGGCTTTCTGGCATCCTCCAGAACATTTTTCCAAGGTGTGTATGTCCTATATTATGGTAAAATAATATTAATAAAATTGAAATGTCAGTTCACACTACTTACTGTATATTAAGCTTCTAGCTATTTAACCATGTACACTCAGCTATGAAGTATTCTACTATCATTTGCACCTAAAATAAAACAGCAGACTGGCATGGTAACGATTTACTACAGCACTTCCAAACTGGCACTGGAAGTTGAAAAACCAGTTCATAATTGGACAGGAAAAAAGAGAAAGAGAAGGAACTATGGCCCTAAATTCTCTCCCCTTCCATGTCAGTTCAAATAAGTATTGGCATCAAAGAAACATTACATACAAGTCATACTTCTCCTATTAAATCTCTAAATATTGCTTGGAAAATTAATGTTTATTAGGAAATCCTATAAAAGCTTCTGCTTCCCATCCCCTTTCTCACATACTATACACTTAAATAACTTTGCTTCTTACATCAAGTAAACTCTTGACTACAACCTGGTACTACAAAGTACATGATGCATAAACTAGAATTAACTAGCAAATACTAGCCCTTAGCTGGTGTAACTGCCTTTAAACAGGCTCCAAAAGAAAGCAGCAGGCCAGCAATACAGCATTTTTCACACACAACCCTTACTCTTTATTTATTCTCCCCACACCATCTTTTTTTCTTTCTCCCCTCCCTCACTCCCTCTTTTCCTGTGTGCGAGAGAGAGAGAGAGAGAGAGAGAGAGAGAGAGAGAGAGAGAGAGAGAGAATTTTACATAAAAACCACTTGGTGCTATACTTTGGTAAGAGAATTCAATCACAGTTGTCAGGGGTTTTGTTTTTTTTTTTTTTTCTTTCTTTCTGGATAACCACAATACAGCAAGGTGGGAGTAAGCACATGCAAGCCAAGGACACTTGAGGGGGCAGCTCTTCAATCTGGTTGCCAGCACAGGGTAACAATTAGACTTGTGGGGGACAAAAGCAAGGGTTGAAGTATTATTACCACCCTCACCAACCTCCCCCACTAACCACATTTCTGGCAGATCCTGCGTTTGCACTTGTCACAGAGGCTTCCTGCTGGGTGCCCTGCAGTTCCCTGAGATTAACAGCCAGGATTTCCAATCAAGTGGGGCACAAGGCCTCCATTCAGGGCCCTTTATCCTGTTACAGAAACACACAAAGGGACACGACAGCCTTACAATGGGCAAGGAAGTGAGCAGGCCTGCCCCGGGGCATACACACACGTGCTATAGACAGAGCCCAGCCCTTCTGTAGTAAACTTTAGAGCAGAAACAGCAGCAGGTTTGCGTATCACATGCTTACTACTGTTTTACATGGCTTGTATTTTTTCTTTATAGTAAATGAACTACCTTTTAAAGATTATGAAAAAGATACTACAGAACTATAGTGTATATATACTTCAATTTAGATACTGTCCCATCTATAAAACAAATAACAATGAACAAACTGCAAACTATCAGAAAAATCTATTATGACTTTACATCTAAGGATTTAAAAGTTCAAGAAGATTAGACTCCATTAAAACCCCAAATATTATTCCTAATCACAATAAGTTTTCAATTACAAAATAGTGGTACAAATAAAATAAAATTTAGAGAATGGGTGAAAAGGGAAATTGTTTGAGCATGAGGGCTGATTTGACTGAAAGCTCACAGAAAAGGTACGACGTGTCTAACCTATACTAATTATCACCTATATGTAATATAAGGAGTCTTGGCTATTTTTTAATAAAAAGGTAAAATATTGTGTCTCATAAAGAAACACACATTTTGACATTCTAAGTTGCACTTTTTGTTTTCATGTACTTATTTTCATCTCAAAAACAAAAAATAAATATATATAATGTAATGAAAAACAAAAGAATGCCAGTATCAGAAAATAAAGAATGGGTTTAGCATCCACTTTACAAACAAGCACAGCTTTACATTTTAAAACACCATTGCCATCTTCAGTTATTTAGAAAATGAAATTAGTACACACTAGTGTATAAATTACACACATACAATCACTACATTTACCTGCCACACACCTAAAAAGTCATGACTAAAAAGAAGATGGTATACCCCCTCAATTAAATCAGGCCTCATGCTCATTAGGCACTTAACAACTTAGGTACTCCTATCTTATCCTTCCTCATGAGTCAAATATAAAAGGAAAGCTGACCCCTACCCCTCCAAAAAACTGTGAAAAGAATGTGAACGTGTATTCTGGAAAATTTTATTGAGTGTTTCTTTTAACAAATGCAGGGCTGGGAAGATAGCTCAGCAACATAAGCATTTGCCTGGCAAGTGCATGGTCATGAGTTCAATCCCTGGTACCATAAAATAAAAACTGCAGTCAATATTTGAATGCTTATTAAGGATACAGTTACCTTACCATACTACAGTATTAAATCTGAACAGAAGGAATACAAAAGGGTCCCATTTCCATTTTTAAAAGGGTAAGATCAAAACCATCATAGAAAGGTCACAAGCACAAGTTGCTTCTGCTTTCTTTTTATTATGAAATGAACAGCAACATAAAATTTAAATTTTTTTAATTTTTTTTCTTATGTATTTTAGTACAGGGTCTACAGGGTCTCACTACACAGTTAAGACTTATAGTGATCCTCCTGTTTTCAGCCTCCCAACCACAGGGATTATAGGCATGCACATAAAATTTAAAGAAAATGTAGTACATCTATAATGTTAGAGACACTTAAAAAATTAAAAGGGGTACAGATTCAAAGAGATTAACAACGAAAAGAAAGATGATCACTTTCCCTGGTTCCAATCCCTTCACATAGGCTACTCTTTCTAGCATTTAATTTGCCTTTCCATAAATTTTTAATGTGTTACCAAGTATAAATGTAAATATAAATCTTTTCCTTTTCATACAATTGGAGAACACTCTGTGTAAATGACACAATTTTTGGTCCCTTAATGTCTTATACAGCTCATTATACATCTTCAACTAAATATCTACTTTATTTTTTTATGGCTATATAGCATTACATTATTTGAAGAAGCCCCACCTTACTTAATAGTTAACAGTTGATGTGCATTTGTTGTCTCCAATCTTTCACTACTTTGTACAGCATTATAGTAAGCATCCTCATGCATACATTTTCATGTAAAGTATTTCTGTAGCATAAATCTGTGCAAGTAAAATTTCTGTCAAATGGCTGGTACATTTAAAATTTTGATAGAGCCTAGCAAAGTGCTCTTAACAAAATTAAATATTAATTTACACCCACAGCTCATTTCAGAATAGAACAAAACATACTCAATACATTTGTTAGCATTAAAATACATCCAATCATATGATAAACTGTAGAAAAGCCAAAACATGAGATGAGCAGATAATTTATTAACTGAATCCCCCACAAAAAAAAAAAAAAAAGAGAATATGGACTATAAACCAAAGAAAGAATAGACAAGGAGAAGAAGCACCTTTATCACCACCAAACAAATTACTAATGGGACTAAGTAGGAGGTCAATGACAATACTTGTAGAAGGTAACAAATCTGTCTGCCTTAATAGTTCAAAGGACAGCTTCAAACCAGAAAGAAAGAAAAAAAAGCAACAGAGGGGAACTCTGGATTTGGGATCTGGAAATACAATTCTTCCTCTTACAGAAACTTTTTTCCAAAGATCTTGTGAACTACAGATGTACTATGCAGAGATGAAAGAAGTCCAGGGTGAGGGAACATGCACCTTTAACTTCATGAAATCCTATGTTACCTAGGTCAGAATAATCTCTTGCTCCTTTTCTTTCATTAATTCCATTATTATTAAAGGGAAAACAGAAATTGTCCAGGCAACTAAGATGTTTTAGTCAGGGAGGAGGACCACATCATCCTATACAGATGCCTAGAGCTAGGGGGGTCACCAAGGCTCTGAAAAACTATTCCTAAGTTGAAGAAATTTAGTGTGTTATGACCTCTCCTTATTTTTCCATCTGCATATAAAATTCATATATCCTTCCCAAAAGGGAAGTAATGTACAAGAATATCATACTCACCTTCCTGCTCTCTCAGAAAAGCCCCAATGGAAATATACACAAGGTGAGCTGACACCTGCAAGACGTGCCTTTGTGAAAAGTGGAGTGCACAGTTTATCCTACCAACCACCCATGAGCCAGTTCCTATTATTATTTTGGTTTCTAGCTTACTGTGCAACAAAAACTTAAATAACTTGTTTAGCTAGTGTACAGTCCAATGCTAGGGTGTCTCACAGTGATGTATATATTTCATTTCTACAATAAGCATGCTTTAGAGAACATAGGAAGCCACAAACACTATTTCTACTACTATTACAGAATTTCATATAATTTAACCTGTAAAGTATCATAAGCTTTTATGGATTCTCCTAAATATACTTTTTGAAAAATGTAAGTTTA